TTTTTGGTTTTAGGGTATTGCAGTTTAGATTTTGTTTTTTTAGATATTATTATTTTTTATTTTTGAAAATTGTTGACAGTTTTTTCTAGAAGTTGGTTTTATGAAAGGAAAGAAGATGTTGTAAAGAAAGAAGTTCTCTAACAAATTCAAAGGTAATTGCATGTGTTTTTTGTGAAAAAATTCATGTTCTTGTGAAATTTTCAAAATTGTATGTATACTTTGATAGTTCATTGAAGTTTCAACTCTACTATCTGATTCAACTAGGGAAAAATAAAAGACAAACTATCTCTAACTATTTTTATAATCTATGCAATAAAAACTTCAAAATCTAAAGCCACCCATAAAGTCGGAGCAAAATTTTATATTTTTCTAATACTAAATTATGTTTTAACTTTTTTTTTTTAATTTGGGTAACTAGCTGAAACAATTTTTTATCATAACAATATTGGCTGGTTTGAAACCCATATTAGAAAAATGCAAGAATATTTCATATCTTTTGAATGCTTATGCAAGGTATTAGAGAAATTGTAATTTTGATTAGCATATGTTCTTTATAAAAAATGTGAAAAAAAAATTAACCAAGTTAACATTTAAAGCTCAAATATTATAATCATTGTTGATTAAAAGAATTGCTACTCCTACATGGTTGCAAAACTTTGTCCTCTTACTTGCCCTTTAGTGTTGCCTTCAAACTTACATGTTGTCTTAATATTGGTGAATAATTATGGCACCATATAAGCATGATCAAGATGAAAGTATTAGTAACCAAAAAAAGTAAGCCTATAATAAGTTGATCATATGTTCATTACATGGCCATATAAAAAGAAAATTTATTGGAATTAACATCTTTTTGTTTATCAAGACACAAGAAAAGTTGTATGTTTGGAACTTTTTCTTTTCTTATTTTCATGTTTTGCTTGGTATCCTTATCTTGGTTATGTTTTTTTCCATGCTAGGGTGGTGAAAAGAAGGTGATCATTTCTATTCCCAATAAAGATGCCTTTGTGTTTGTTGTAGTTGTCAATGAGAAGAAATACAAGCCTAGCTTTGATATTGTCTCCAATACAAGCTGCATTACTAACTACCTTGCTCCATTAGTTAAGGTAATAATGATTCCTCTTTTATTTATTTGAAGCATTGGGCTACTAATTTTATCTTTCAAGTAATAATAGACCTTAAACATAGTGGCAGGTCATCCATGACAAATTTGGCATTGTTGAAGGTCTTATGATCACTGTCCATTTTATTATTGGTAAGTAACTATGGTGTTTTATTTTTACTTGTTACAACCATTTATGTGTTGTTGAATGACCCATCTTTTTGATTCAGCTGCCTAAGACATTGTTGATGACCCATCGATGAAGGACTAAAAAGGTAGCAGAGTTACTTCTTTGAATTTTTAGCTAATAGTTTCGTGGGTAGGCATTATTTGAGGTGTAGTCACTATTGCACTATCTTATAACAAGGTAAATTGTCTTATTTTAAACCCAAGGTTTAGTTTAGTTGGTTCATGCAATCACTCTTAAAAGATAACATCTGACACATTTGAAGTTTAGATTCCAACATCTACAACCCCTTTCTCCATCTCTAAATTATTGCCTCATTTGTAAAAAAAAAAAATTACGGCATGATGTTTTACTAATTATATTGTCACTACTTTAAAAAAATAGATTGGATATGATTTTACTATGTATGACAAGAAAAACAATTATTATAAAATCATCAACAAATAACAAAAGAAAAATTTTAATGCTTAAAAATATCCATCAAGTTCCTGAAGTTTCATCAGCTGCACCAATGGATGAACTAGGCATAAATGGAACAAATCCTCTTCCACCAAAAACTGGTGTCACGAATCTATCATCAAATTTTCTCTGCATGTAATGAACAATCCAAGTGGGGTGAGTCAATGGCAACCTTAAACTACTTTTCTTAAGAGCTGCCAGTTGGTTCTCTCTCAAATTACTTCATTCACCATTTTCAACAAACAAAATTCTCAAGTCTTCTAGGCTGGGAATATTAGCATCGTCTGAAACATTTGGTTTTGCATTGATGAAATTCAAAGTAGAAAAAGGTAGCATAGGGCTACCTTAAAAAAGAAAATGAAAAGGCAATGGCAAAGAAAGGGTAATCTTATTTGGTTTTATGCAGCTCTATGTCATAGAGCATTGTAAATGTTAGGCTACTGATATACCCTTCAATGATCCATTGACTACCTGTCAAACACATAGGCTATTCTAGCCTTTTCCCTCTTCCTTCCAACTTTTCTTTTTTTTTTTTTAATTTTCTTCGAATTTCTTTTTGAAGTCAAAGAAGTGAAAAAATGTTTACTTTTTGTAAAATGAAATTCAAGGGAACTTGATAGTGATTGGTCAAAATTTTCTTTCGGTATGATTTTAGTAATGCTATTGAATATTAGTAGCACATTATGTTGATCAAACTTCATAATTGCCATCTGATTTATTCAAGATCGATGTTTAAAGCTCATTTAAACATGTTGGAAACATTATGCAAACCAAGTTAAATAATAAACCATTGGGAATAGGGAAAGAAAAAAAAAGGATTTGCAAGCCAATTATATTTTTGTTGATTCTGGTCCTACTTCTTTTCATTAATTATTTTATTAGTCTTATCAAAAACATTGTTATTATCATTTACATATGTGAATTCACAATCTTACTTTACTTATGTTTGAAGTTATTTGAGATCATTGTTTAATGTGATTTGTTTCACTTTGAAATTGAGTTTTGAATGATGAAGTTGAGGTTACATTTTTTTTTAATGTTGGTTCTTCAATTTTGATTTTATGGCTTGATTTTTAATATTATTTGCTTTAAAGTTTTTTTAAGTTTTTAAGTTCGATTTGCATTTTTATTTTTTTTAATTTAGCTTTTTTGGTTATTTGTAGTTAATAGGGAATTGTTGGTCTACAATTTAACACCGGTCTTGACATGAGTATCCACTTTCTGGTTTCCAATGAACTCAAATTTGTAGTTGTTAGTCACTCACACACACAAATCTCAAGTTTTATTATAGCAATTTTAGTCCTTCACAAGTAGCTCTAGAAATCTTTAACCATTTAATCCAAACCAATAATGAATATTGCATGGAGGTACAATGAGAGAATTGTAAGCTATGTTATTTGGTTTTCTTAACTTTGTGATTATTGCTTTATTACTTTTATTTATGCAAGTTACAATCAAAATCTTAGCTGATGCGAAGGGTAATACTCATTTCTCATGAAAAAAAAAGTTTAGGTATGAAATAAATTCTTATTTGCTTTTAAAATTTATCTTTCAATCCTTCCTCCTTTTCTAAAAGGAAGTGTTTTAGAGGTTGGAAAGGTAAGCTGCTTATCTTGCTTATAAGTGACATAGATAGAATTTTGTGGTATTTGTTTCACAAGTTCTTATGATGATGACTTGGCAAACTAAATGCATAGACAATCTTAATATTGTTTTTCTATAACTTTGTTAACAGATTTTCTAATTGTAAAAAACTAAATAATATTTGTTGTTGTTCACTATAAAATTAAAAATAATTTTGAGTTTTATCGTAATCTCTTTATCATTGTTGAATATAAAATAATTTAGAGTAATTTATGCAACAAAAAATTTATTGCAGTTAACCCATAGCAAAGCGTGGATTATAACTTAATATCCATAAAGAATAAACTATAGAATAAATTCAATTATTTGAAGAAAAAATTGAAAACTACACGATTAAGATTTTAGAATATTCCTCAAATTGTCCCTTTTTTATTGTTGGAGAAGCATATTTTTTAAATCGTTACCTAAGTAATAGGTTAACATTTTTAAAAAAAAGGTAATAGGTTAACTTAAAGTCTTTATGAGGACAAATAAATTTTGTGTTGTTGAAACAAAACCCAAAATAATTAATAAAATTTAATATAGTTAAAACTTGCTATTGGTCATTTATTAATATACCAATCTACGGGTCTAGTGGATTTATACCCTTGAATCAAATCTTTGATAGAGATTTTCGAGTTTTAGTCTGCTCATAAACATAAAATTATTACTAATAATATTTTATGTAATTTTAATTTTAAAATATATTTAAAATATAAAAATTGTAAAATTTTAATAATTTTTTGTTTTCTCAATATTTTTTAAAATTTTGAACCTCTTGACCGGGCTGAAATAGGTTGAACCTTGGGGAAAGCTTTCAAAAGATTAACCAGCTAATCTGACTCAACTACCTAAACACCTATATTTATCAATTAATTAATGAGAATCATGTAATTTTGATTTTTTTAACTTAACGATAAATAATATAAAATATATTAAACAAAAAATTTATATTTAACCTTTGGAATGGGCTAAATGATGGACTGCCTCTTACCCACCCTCAGTTCCATCCTTTCCTCAAGTATCAAATCTTGATTAAAAAGAAAATTGAGCTTCTTTCCTTGTCTATAAGACTAGGGTTTCACACGTTTATAATTATAATTTGATTGATTCACTGTTTGATGCAAAGTTGGTGGATTAATCAAGCAACTGATTTCTTCAAGCTGACTACCTATGGTCAAACATAAGGATTCTTGGTCTCTTCAATTTTGTAAAATTGACTAGAGTCGCCCAAGGATGGATAAAGAATAGTTATCACCGACTATTTTGGACTCTGGAAAGCTGGTATTCCCTCCGACATTAATTCTCCCCAAGAATGTATAAAATATAATTAATTAATTAATTACTTTCACATTTTTATTTTTATTTTTATTTAGGATGATCTTTTAATCGTGGGATTGTCTCACTTTCAAGACTTGCTAGGACGTTTGTCACTTTTTCTTTCTTTATTAATAAAATAATAACTTTTAAACCCAAGCCTTGCCCATGGATTTAGACTTATTATAGTAATAAAAATATTTTTATATTAATATATTGCATTCTTTATTTAATAAAATAATAACTTTTGATTGGGATAGATTCAAAAATCTTAATCAGACTCTCAAAAGCAGGCCTAGCGTGGGTCTGAAGGATAACATATCTTTGGACAAGTTTATCCACTACTCGAAGAATTAGATATATATTTTAATTAAAATTGAAAAGAAAAGAAAAAAAATACTGTTCTTTGAATTTAAAGAAAAGGAATTGGAACCTTTTCTTAGAGTAAGGGATCAATCAACTAAGCCAAATATTCGAGTGCACTGGTAATTGATTTTTTGTAAAGAAAATACTGATTAGTAAATCGAATAGATTCTTTTAAGTTCTCCAAATGTACACATTGATAATTGAGGCTCTAGCTGAAGGTTTTGGTTTAAATTTGGGGATAAAAAAAATTCCTCAGGTAAAACGAAAAGGCAACATAATGCTTAATATGAATTTACGCTTAACATGAATTTTATTGATAGAAGTTAATAAATTTTACACTCTATTAGAAAATCAATAGCCAGATAATTTCTTATCGAGATACGAGTCTGTGTACATTTATTTTCTTTAATTTCAAAATTCAATAGAAGATGAAATAAGAAGTTAAGAACCAGCAAAAAGACAAACTAAAATCAAAATTAAATTTAGGCATATAAATTATTCTCCATCAAGTAAAATTAAATCCTTGCAAAATCAAGGGACTTTTTGCCATCATGTGGATTTCCAAAAAAGTTGTTCATGTAATCTGCAAGAACGAACTCTCTATAACGAGCAATTCCATCTTTCTGTACTACTTGAGGCAGCGGTCCAATCTTCTCTGTTGGTTTTGGAATTGTAAATATTGGTATTGACACCCTTGATTTTGTGCTTGTCGTACGAACTCTATGCTCTGCACTTTTGTACTTTCCATTGCTTAATATCTGCAGACAAACATAGATGAATTAAAAACATATGGTATTTGCATGATTATTTTTCATTAAAGAAAAGGACCCTTATTCAAATTTTGATTTGAACCTGTAACATATCGCCAACATTGATGACCAGAGCACCAGGAACAGGTGGGATCTCTACCCATTCTCCTTTTTTATCAATATCTGCATCGTCTGGAACTTTGACATACAAACCTCCAATCCCATCTTGTAACAAGACGGTGAGGGTGCCCATATCAGAGTGACGCCCTACACCAACTGTGAGCTCTGGATTAGGACATGTTGGATAGTAGTTCATATTGACGGTCTTCCGGCCAATAAGTGCATCAATCTTCGAGTCATCTAGTTTAACTCCAAGGTTTTCCATCAAAACTTCAAGCAATTTCTTCACCATGTCAAGCGATGTCTTTAAATACTCAAGTGCCACTTCCCTAAAAGAAGAATAAGGTAAAAGAATCAATTGATGGTAAGTATATATAAATAAACTAATACTAGTCAATTGGCTTCTTTCGAAAAAAAGAAAGGAAAAGCCCACCTGCACTCTATAGGCCAATGCTGAAGAACTTCTGCATCATTGGTGTATACCATGCTGATATAGTCTTTCCATTCCAATGCTTTCTCTTTCGCAGGAACAAAACTTGTCCCATACTTCACTAATGGAGTTGGACTCACTTCTGTAAGATAAACAGCCTTTCTTTCAGCTGGCAGGCCGAAGAAGTTATGTGCAGCATCCTTAAGTGACTCTAGTAGATCAACAGGCACTCCATGGTTGACAACTTGGAAGAAGCCAAGAGTCTTAGCTGCTCTAACAATTTCCTTGGCAACTTCATCATGGTCAGGCCCATCAAGCCTCGACAAATCAATCGGTGGCACCTCACATTTGCTTGCATTTTTCTTATCAATCTGCTCGGCCGGTGGTTGAATGTAAGCCTGGGGGACCTTTGAGATGCCAGCGTCCACAATTCCTTTGATGCCATTTCCACCTCGGACGACAAAGTTGAAAAGTGAGCTGCCATTATCCAAACTTGGAGCCATTTGTGTGTAAATAAATGTAAGTAAGGCTGTTGAATATTTCTTTGTATGTCGAGAGGGTTTAATTGATATGAAGTTGTGTGATTCATCAAACCAAGTGATGGGCTCTATTTATAGTGCATCGGTGGTTTAGACTTCTTCCGAAGAGAAGGTGCTTGGTATTTACATAAGCATTTAAAGATATTTAATAATTTATAAACCAAGGAATTCGAATTTCAGCTTCCACAATATTTCTAGAATGGCAAACCCCAATTCTGACTAAAATATTATTATTATTACTACAATAAATAAAAATATTATTAAATCTAAAATTCAAGCCCTGCGCTGCCTTGTGTGAATATGAACTTTCTCTACATGCAGGAAATCACAATTCAAACGAAGTATTGACAAGACTTTTCTTTTTTTTTTTTTTTTTGTTAAAAACAATGACTTTTCAATGGTATAGAGCACTTCAAATATTTTAATCATATTTAACAAACGTTAGATACCATTTCAGTACGTGAAATTTGGATACAAAGCCCATGACTAATTTTAGTTATAAAATCGAGATGATCCCAAAGAAAACTAAGGGAAAATTGTTTAAATATAAATGCTAAACTAAATTTAACAACCATTCTAATATATTTGTCCTATATAAAAATTAAATCATGAATTTTGTTCAAAAAAAATTTACATTTAATTATTCAAAAATATCTTTTAGTTATGTTGTTGAACATATTTTTTTAAAAAAATTGTTATTTTCAAAGTAAATTAACAAAATTAACCAATTTATACCTAAATTCCTTATATATACTGGTCAATAATCAATAGGTACAAAAACCCAGATAACTATATATTACATTCATAATAGAATATCAAAGTAATTAATACCTCTTCTGTAGAGTCCAAAATAATCAAATATGGAAAGAACAAAGAAATAGAATGTTTTCTATTCCTTAGATCTATCAGTCATGATCAATGGCGATTTGCTTAAGCTTGACCCACTAATCAGTCATGGTCAATGGTGATTTGCTCATGCTTCCTTTATGGTAGGCGAATGGAAAGCTTGGGGCACCTTCCATTAGCCCAAAGTCTAAATTCCTTTTAAGGAAATTTCCTTTTGTTTCTAAATTTAGAAAAAGAGATAAAACCCAATGAGGATTCACATTATAACTACTTTTTATAATTAAAAAGATTGTTTTCTCCGATCACACAATTAAATCCCATAGCATTCACCTAAGAATTTAAACTTAAGCATGGTTATTTAATGAATGTTAAGTCTTTTTGTGCAATAGGTATGGTTATTTGTTTGATTCAGTAATGAAAATAGATAGTGTACTTCCAAAAATATTATGACTAAATTGTAATCTGAAAAAATAATTATATTTTATATGTTTTCTCCTTCTCTGATTGAATGTCTATTATTTTTAGATTTCCCATAACTATTTATCAAAAAAATTTTTTTCTAAACATACCTACAACTCTTAGTTTTTATATTTCATATTTATTTTTAGTAGCTTTTCTTTTTATATTTTGCATTAAAATATACAATTTATTAATTTTATTAAAAAATAAATAATATAAACAACCAACAAAATTAAAACATTTTTTACTTGTCATATCAAATCAAACATGAACGTGCAATTTAAGTTGAGAAATTTAATAAAATTAGGTATATGCTTATATAATACCATTTTAATCAATGCGGGATTTGGCATGACTCAACAGTTTTTGATCATTAATGCTTAGTCTTTTCATAGATGGAAGGAGACGACGCATGACTATATGTTCATTTCTTTACTTCTTTAGTCTGTGGATCTCTTATTTATTTGTTATGCCATTTTTATCTCTTATTTCTTATATTTTCGGGGTCAAAAAAGGAAATTCAAACCAAACTTTTGGTCGTTCTTATTTCTTTACATTTGTTGTTGGTATACAAATATGGAGATCAATTAATCAAACTTGGATTATACAATATCGAATAATATTCCCTTGTTATATAATCTCAAAAATTCAAATTAAAGATTCCTAAGTTGTTTTTGTTAAATTTAAATTTAGAGGTCTTCATTGTTTTTCTTTGTTAAAAAAACTAATAATAAAATAATAATTATCATTTGACATTGATGATGAAAGGGTTTGAACGTTTCAGCAAGAAAAGTTTTTGGCCGTTTAAATATGATCATTTATAGTTTTTCATCTTTGATTTCAGTTACTTGTTTACGTAAACATTGGAAGAAACTTAAGGAAATGGATTTTCAGCTACCACCAATTCTGACCAAAAAAATGGGGAAAATCGATAGCTATTGGTTCTAGAATGTTTATTCGTATCTAAAATTCAAGTCCAGTTGACAAAGATTTTATAAATAAAAAAAGGCTTATTTGATCCACCGGTTCTCCTCATGCCATTAAATCTTGGTCTAAAGTTCACAACTGAAGACACATTATTTACTTTAAAAGAAATAGAGAATGATAGATAAACGATAAGATCAAGACAGTAAAATGGTTTTAAGGCATGAAAAGCATATTTAAAAAAAATTTTAAATAATTTAATAGTTAAATATTTATTATTTTACAACAAATAGAAAAAATACTTTGTTTTTTTAAGTTTCTAATTTATTCTTAAATCTTCACTCAATTATTTATCTTACTGAAAAAGATATTATGTATTTAAACTCTTTTAAACACTCAATTTTCAAATACTAATTCTTATAACATATCAATTAATTCAAGAAATATTTCTTTTGTTGATTTTGCTATCAATGAGATCGTTTATTTAAATGATTAAAAAGCTGATTTTTGTCAGCAATTATTTTAATCTATAAATTTAATGTAAGGTTTTATTTTTTATACCTACGGTTTGGTTTGTTTCGATTCTGAATTAGGAAAGTCTTCTCTCACCACTAAATCAATTAGTTCTATTGTTTTTTTTTAGTTTTATGATTAAGATTGTAGCAATAAACTATTAATTCATTCATAGAATTTAAAGCTAACTGTTATTCAATCAATTAATTCCTCATTTTAAGATTAAATTTTAATTTGAGATTTTATAATTTCTATGTATCAAATTGTAAAATGATCAAAATTCGATATACTTTTTGTACTTTTTTACCTTTTTCCTATTTTTTTTCTTTCTCTCCTGTCCTTTTTTCCGTTTCTCTTCTTTTCCAGAACTTTCGCTTACTCGAAGATAATTAAGGCAAATAATGGTCTTTGGCTTTTTTCTTCAGTGATGGCCACTTAATGAATTAGATTAATTTGGTACGAATAGGAAACTCATCAGTAGACAGAATGGAAGGCAATCAAGGTTCGATCATTATGGAAAATATTTCGGGGTTAAAACTTAGATGCCCAACTTTGAATAAGATTTTTAAAAATTATATTTTTGTATAATTTTAATTATAAAATATATTTAAACATATTAAAATTTTAATATTTTAATATATATATATATTTTCAAAATGAACCTATTAGGCTCCAAAATAGAGATCAGACTAGTTTGGGGTTTTAGTAGAAGTGATGAAGGGGCAATAAATGGGAATAAAAGAAACAACACCATATCCAAATTATGAATTCAACTTATTAATTTTCAAGTCTACAACTTGCAATGAAATTATCACATTGCGTTGCTTGGAGAACACTATCAATTATCGGAACGAACTTTCCACAAATGACATCGATACTTAGATTTCTAGAAACAATAAGAAATATAGTTGTCTGAAAAGATGGAGATCGAACCTTTGTCTCAACCAGAAAATTTTCCTAAATGGAAAAGCAACTTGTGGAATTTGTTGACTATTATCTTCTTGCAGCATGCATCTCAATTTTTGTGGATTAATTCAAACAAAATTAAGTCAAAACTTTCATTCTTCTTCTTTATTATTATATTATTATGCATATGAAATAAATAATTAAATTTAGTAACTTATTGTATTTTAAATATAATTAACATATTTTACATATGCTGCTATATTATGTTTCAATTTAATAAAATATATTATTTTTGAAGTACAAAATCAATACCCTTCGAAAGTCCTGTTAATATTATTCTAATCGTCAACGTAATTTGGATGAAAATTCCATGAAATCCATCACTTTCATCACCCGGAATTGAATTTTGGATTTGAAACTCTTTATTGATAGAACTGCACGATCTTGAATAAACATTCCAGTTTGAACCCAAATATACAATAGGAAAAAAATGGGTATATAACAATTATCTAATTAACTTATTTGTAAAAAATAAAAGCATCAATCAAAAAGAGCCCAAATATCTTGAATACACCCACCTGTCAAAAACTCTAAGTTAAAATTTGAGAATATTTACTTATGAATATGACGTAATATCTTGAGAGAACAAATTTCTAATTATTCCCATCTCTAATTCCATGGAGAAAATGTACTCTATCATTATTCCTTTTAAAAAAATTAATATGCAATGGAAAGTTTTAAGAAATTTTCCTTTCCATTTTGGCATTTTGCTTATGTTTTTGGTCTGATGGAGAGAACCCGTTCTAGATTATGGCAGCTTCCTTGATTTTTATAGAATGCTAAATTTCTTCACCAAAAGTGATAATTGTCAATCTTTAGACGCCCAATACCTTGTCTTGCTGAAAAATTCAAAGTCATTCACCATAAAGGTCAACAGGAAACTAAAATTTTAATATTTGATGATGAACCAGCCATGCACTATAAATAGCCTCCTTCCCTTTGGTTGAAGCACCACACAACCTCTTATCAATAAAACTTCTCGACATACAAAAGAAATATACAACAGACCCAAATGGCTCCAAGTTTCGATAATGGCAACTCACTTTTCAACTTTGTCGTCCAAGATGGAAACGGCGTGAAGGGATTGGTGGACTCTGGCATATCAAAGGTGCCCCAGGCTTACATTCAACCACCAGCCGAGCAGATTGATAAGAAAAATGCAACCAAATGTGAGATGCCACCGGTTGATTTGTCGAGGCTTGATGGCCCTGACCATGATGAAGTAGTCAAGGAGATTGTTAGAGCCTCTGAGACTCTTGGCTTCTTCCAAGTTGTGAACCATGGAGTACCCGTCGATCTACTGGAGTCCCTTAAAGGGACCGCCCATAACTTCTTTGGTCTGCCCGCTGAAAGGAAGGCTGTTTATTGCAAAGAAGTGAGTCCAACCCCGTTAGTGAAGTATGGTACGAGCTTTGTCCCAGAAAATGAGAAAGCATTGGAATGGAAAGACTATATTAGCATGGCCTACACTAATGATGCTGAAGCTCTTGAACATTGGCCTGTAGAGTGCAGGTAATGAAATATGTTTTGTGCTCTCTATTCTTCTTTTCCCAGATATTCCGAAACCGCATTTATAGAGTTTCATATTCATATAAATTTCAATATTCTCTTTGTAGGGATGTTGCTCTTCAATACTTGAACACATCGCTTGATATGGTGAGGAAATTGCTTGAAGCTTTGATGGGAAATCTTGGAGTGGAACTAGATGACTCAAAGATTGATGCATTCATTGGAAAGAAGATGGTTAATATGAACTATTATCCAACATGTCCTAGTCCTGAGCTCACAGTTGGTGTAGGACGCCATTCTGACATGGGTACTCTCACAATCTTATTACAAGATGGGATTGGCGGTTTGTATGTAAAAGTCCCAGAAGATGTAGACATGGAAAAGAGGGGACAGTGGGTCGAGATTCCTCCTGTTCCTGGTGCCTTGGTCATCAACATTGGCGATATGTTACAGGTTCAAATCAAAGTTTCTATCGACACTCGTTTCATTTCATTCGAAAATTAATCATACTATAGCATAAGAATTTGAACAAATGGAAGATTGAAAAAAAAAATACTAATAATTGTGTTTTTAATTTGTTTTATTCAGATATTAAGTAATGGAAGGTACAAAAGTGCAGAACATAGAGTTCGCACCACAAGCACAAAGTCCAGAGTGTCAATACCAATATTTACGAGCCCACAAGCAACACAAAAGATTGCACCATTGCCTCAGGTGGTCGAGAAAGATGGAGTGGCTCGATATAGAGAGTTTGTTTTTTCAGATTACATGAACAGCTTTTTTGGAAATGCACATGATGGCAAGAAGTCCCTTGAGTTTGCAAAACCCAACTTGGCTTGAAATAGAAGACATATTCTACTCTATTCTCGGTGCTATTGATTTTGGCACATCTATTACTCCCTCTTATGTTTAGCACAAGTGTTTTACATGTGACAATAAAATGATGATGATTTAGGGTAGCCTCCGATATCTGTTCTTTCTATATTTTCGAACCAAAAGTTGTAATTCATCAGCTTCTTATTTGTAATTGAGATCACAACTATTTTTCTGATTATTAGCAACAATATTCAAAATATATGTAGTATTAAAAATCAATAACGTAGCATATACAGTAACATATATAATTTTCCTACCAAAATAAAACAGGGCAGTGTTTTGATTTGGGCAAGTGGATTCAACCCCTATTGAAAAACTCAATGAATTATGTATCAATCAATTGAGTCTAAGTGATATTTAGCAAGTTTAGTATTTTAATTCCAGCCCTTGTAGCATTTTCTTTTATACTCAAACTGCGATCTTTTATCTACAAAAAAAGAATGATAAAATGATTAAAAAAAAGCTCTCTAATAAAAATTTAATAATAATTTAAGTTTATGATATTTTATTATAATTAATTAAGTATAAAATTTCTTATTTCAGATCAATTGAACTTTAAATATATATATATATATATATATCCCCAATCAGACTACTTAAACATTTATTTTTATTCCAATTGAGTTTTGAATTAGATAAAAATGAGTATTGACAATTAATCAATTTTTATCTAATAATAACATAATTGATAAGGTGAATTGATTGTAATAAAATAATACAAATTTGAATGATTATTAAATTTTTATTTGAAGATTTTTTTTCTCCTTTTAACTGAAAAATCCTTCTTATTCCGTCCAGTAGGTAAAACTAATTTCCTTCCTTTTTAACTTTCTAAAAATTTTATTTTATTACCCCTGGTCAAGCCGTCAAGAAATTGAAAACAAAGAAAAATCTTGCTATTGCTTTCCATTATTTTTTTCATAGATATTAATGTTTAACAAACAAACACAGAACTGAAATTTACCACCTCCATCGCAATCTCATACCGCCTTTGCTACTTAAATTAAGCCCAAATAACAATTAATTTTCTCTACAAGTAATGAACAGTCCAAGTGGGGTGAGTAAATAGCAACCCTAAACTACTTTTCTTAGGGGCATTGATGAAAGGGTAGCATAGGGCTACCTTACAAAAGAAAGTGAAAAGGCCACGGCAAAGAAAGGATAATCCTATTTGGTTTTATGCAGCTTTGTGTTATAGAACATTGCAGATGTTAGGCTATTGATATACCTTTCAATGATCCTTTGACTACTTGTCAAACACATAAGGCTACTCTAGCCTTTTCCCTCTTCTTTTCAACTTTCCCCCTTTTTTTTTTTAATTTTACTTCAAATTGCTTTTTGAAGTCAAAGTGAAAAAATGTTTATTTTTTTGAAAAATTAAATTTAGGGATACTTGATAGTGATTGTTCCAATTTTTCTTTTGGCATGATTTTAGTAATGCTATAGAATATTAGTAGTATCATTATGTATAGATACCCTATTTAGTCTAGACCCAAACCAATTGGATCTGGCTCAATAGGGTCCAAGCAGTTAAGCTCCAACTGCTTATTGATTTATGTCTTATATTTATTTATGTATTTTTTAATTTTTTTGGGTTTTATTTTTATTATTTTACTTATTTATTTTGATGTTTATCTGTGACTTTTTTCTCTTTTTGTTTTTAGTTGCTTTATCTTTAGGTTAGGATAATGAGATAAAAAAATAATGAAGATTTCTACTGGTGGAAGAGTTATAGATGGATCTAGTTTGCAATAGGATAAATCCATGTTTGGTGATAATATAGAAACCCTGTCAATGGTGGATTCTTGGTTAATCAAGAACTCTTCTATCAGGCCCTATAAAAACACAGAGAAATCAACAAAAAAGATCAATGAAACATAAACATACACAAAAGCAGGAAAATACACAAAAGTGAAAATTTTAGAAATTCAAAAAAGAGAAAATATTTCTAATTTGGCCTAAATGGTGGAATAATTAGATATGTTTTCAATAAAAATAAAAAAATAAAAAATAATTAAACTTTGTCCAACGACAACCTTTTCAAGAAAACAAATGGGATTCTTGAATGCTCTTGAGGTGAGAAAATATTTTTAAGAGTTCTACCAGATTGATGGAATGTCTTAAGAATTATTTTCAATACTTGAACATTAAATTTTAAAACAATTAGAATCAAGACCTTAGGATAAATTTAAAATAAAATGGTACGATCCTTCGGATGGGCATATAGGGGTGTTATAAACTTCCTTATATGTAACCGAACTCTCGAACCCTATTCTAGTTAGTAGATCCAAACTTATTCTTTTAAGGACCCTTAGTCAAGCTTAGGAGCTCCTTAAAAGGATGATTCATTAGATGGCCAATCATACCTGGTAAAAAATATTGGTGGTAACTCCATTTGTTAAGTCTAGCTATAGATTTTTGAATGTATATGTTATGACATTACTTTAATAAAAATTCATAACTGCCATCTAACTTATTTAAGATTGATGTTTAAAGCTCATTTAAGCATGTTGGAAAACATTATGCAAACCAAGTTAAATAATAAACCATTGGAAATAGGGAAAGAAAAAAAAGGATTTGCAATTCAATTATATTTTTGTTGATTCTAGTCCTACTTCTTTTCATTAATTATTTTATTAGTCTTATCAAGACCATTGTTATTATCATTTACGTATGTGAAATTCACAATCTTATTTTACTTATGTTTAAAGTTATTTGAGATCATTGTTTGATGAGATTTGTTTCACTTTGAAATTCAGTTTTGAACGATGAAGTTGAGGTTGCATGTTTTTTTTTTTTTATTTTGGTTCTTCAATTTTGTTTTCATGGCTTGATTTTTAATATTTTAATTGTTTTGCTTTAAAGTTTTTTTAGGTTTTTAAGTTCTATTCGCATCTTTGATTTTTTTTTTTAATTTAGCATTTTTAGTTATTTGTAGTTAACAAGGAGTTGTTGGTCTATAATTTAATACCAGTCTTGACTTGAGTATCCTGTTTTTGGTTTCTAATGAACTAAAATTTGTAGTTGTTAGTCACTCACATACACATAAATCACAAGTTTTATTATGGCAGTTTTAGTTCTTGACAGGTAGCTTTAGAAGTTTTTAAACATTTGATCCAAAGCAATAATGAATATTGCATGGAGGTACAAGAAGAGAATTGTAAGCTATGTTTTTTGCTTTTCTTAACTTTGTGATTATTGCTATATTAATTTTAGTTATGCAAGTTACAACCAAAATCATAGATGACACGAAAGGTAATATTCATTTCTCATGAAGGAAAAGTTTAGGTATGAAATAAATTCTTATTTACTTTTAAAATTTATCTTTCAATCTTTCCTCTTTCTCTAAGTAGAAATGTATCAAAGGTTGTAAAGATAAGCTTCTTATCTTGCTTATAAGTGACATAGATAGAATTTTGTGGTACTTGTTTCACATGTTCTTATGATGATGACTTGGCAAACTAAATGTATAGACAATTTTAATATTGTTTTCCTAAACTTTGTTAATAAAATTTTCAATTGTAAAAAAGCTAAATAATATTTGTTGTTGTTCACTATAAAATTAAAAATAGTTTTGTGTTCTATTGCAATTTCTTTATCCTTGTTGAATATAGAATAATCTAGAGTAATTTATGTGGTATAGAACTTATTGCAGTTAACTCATAGCGAAGCACAAGTTATAACTTGGTATCCATTAAGAATAGACTATAGAACAAATTAAATTATTTGAAGAAAAAATTGAAAATTATACAATTAAGATTTTAGAATATTCCTCAAATTGTCCTTTTTCTATTGTTGGCGAAGCATATTTTTTAAATTGTTACCTAAGTAATAGGTTATCATTTTTTTTTATGAAAAAGTAATAGGTTAACCTAAACTATTTATGAGGACAAATAAATTTTGTGTAGTTGAAACAAAACCCAAAATAATTAATATAATTTAATATAATTTAAACTTGTTATTGGTCATTTATTGATAGACCTATCAATGGGTCGAGTGGATGTATACCTTTACTTAAATCAAATCTTTGATAGAGATTTTTGAGTTTTCATCTAATGATAAACATTAAATTATTAATAACAATATTTTATGTAATTTTAATTTTAAAATATATTTAAAATATAAAAATTGTCAAATTTTAATAGTTTTTTGTTATCTTAATATTTTTAAAATTTTCAAACCTCTTGACCTCGCTGAATTAGGTAGAACCTTGGGGAAAGGTTTTAAAAAATTAACTAGGCTTAATCTGGCTCAACTTCATAAACACCTATATTTATCAATTAATTAATGAGAATCACGTAATTTTGATTTTTTTTAACTTAACAAAAAATAATATAAAATATATTAAACAAAAAATTTATATTTAACCTTTAGAATGGGCTAATTGGTGGATTGCCTCTTACCTACCCTCAGTTCCATCCTTTCCACATGTATGAAATCTTGATTAAAAAGAAAATTCAACTTATTTCCTTGTCTCTTAGACTAGGGTTTCACACATTTATAATTATAATTTGATTGATTCACTACTTGATGCAAAGTTGTGCTAGAGTAAGAAAAAGCATTGGAGTGGAAAGACTACATTAGCATAGCCTACACCAATTATGCTAAAGCTCTTCAACATTGGCCTGTAGAATGAAAGTAATGAAACATGCTTTGTGCTCAATTTTCTTCTTTTAGCATGGCATTCCAAACCTAATTATAATAGACTCATAAATATATCAATATTCTCTTTTCAGGAATGTTGCTCTTCAGTATTTAAACTCATCACTTGAAATGGTTAGGAAATTGGTGGAATCCTTGATGGAAAACTTTGGAGTGGAACTACATGACTCACAAATTGATACATTGATTGGCAAAAAGATGGTTAACATGAATTTTTATCCGATGTGTACTAACCCTAAACTCACAGTTGGTGTAGGGTAACACTCTGATATGGGTATCTTTACAATCTTATTACAAGATGGAATTGGTGGTTTGTATGTGAAAGTTTCAAAAGATATGGATATGGAAAATAAGGGAGAGTGGGTAAAGATTTTTCCTATTCCTGGTGCCTTGGTCATCAATATTGGTGATATGTTACAAGTTTGTATCAGAATTTATATTTAGACCATTTTCTTTTGGTAAAAGAAAGAAATGTGTAGAAAATCAAATCCTTTATCTTGCTATAATTCATTTCCTAATGAAAGTGAATGAATCACTAGGTTAAACCCTCAAATTCTGAGACTTTTTTCATTTGAATGAAAAACTAACCATGCCAATATAAGGTTTTTTAAATTCATGATTGAAATAGAACGAACATGCTCTAGTACCTAGCTGCCTAATTATCTACAAAGTTTAAACTTTCATTTTTTATGTAGATATTAAGCAATGGAAGGTACAAAAGTGCAGAGCATAGAGTTTGTACCACAAGCACAAAATCAATAATATCAATACCAATATTTACCAATCCAAAACCAACAGACAAGATTGCACCATTGCCTCAAGTGGT